CCCCTTTAGGCTGCATAAAATCAGAATAGCTGGTTGTTTCTCACAAGAAAGCACAACTCAGTTTGGATTTCTGAGATAATGTTACCTGATGTCATCTTAATGGGATATAATCAAAGTAATGATGCCTAACATCAAAATCAGTTTCATTCCGAATTTAACCCTAAAGGGTGTCCCAAAAATGAACTTTATTGCCTCATGTGATACATTTGAACTAACAATGAATGCATGCTTTTTCCAGCACCAACCAAATTGTCTATAGGACTTTTTTTTTATCAGTTAGTGACCACCAATTTTGAAATGTGGCTTTTATGTGCCAAACAAGGAATGTAACCTGAAAACCATTGATGAAGCGTAATGATAGCTAAAATTAGACAGTCAGGCCTACAACAGTTTTATTCGGACCTCTGGATGCAGCGTGGAAATGTCCGACTTCCGGATGGGACTTTACCAGCACAATCTTTGACATGGATTGGACATCGTCATAACAAACCTACAGCCCCGCATACTCACACACACACATACACACACACTCAAGGGATAAACAAAATGTCACAATATCATGTGTCTCTGGTTGGGTTTTAAATATGAATGCTGGTACTGAAGTGGTTTTATTGCATGGTCCAGAACCCCCCTCCCTCCCGCCATTCCTTCCCCGTGTCTCATCTAGTCGCTGTCCGACTTATTGACGTCCTTGGCCGTGGAGTGGTTGTACAGTCCCTGCGCCATTAGATGCAGCGCCAGAGAGTTTTTATTCCCGGTGGTTTTCTTGATTTTGGCCCGCTTGTTCTGAAACCAGATTTTGATCTGAGATTCGTTGAGGCCAAGTTCCTGGGCCAGGCTCTGCCTCCGTTGCTCGGTCAGGTACCGGTTGCTCTGGAACTCCGTTTTTAACCGGTGCAGCTGCTCCGCGGTGAAGGCCGTCCGGGGCCGCTTGTCCTCTTTACTCGGGGTCGGCGCCTTCTTTGGTTTACGGGATCTTGGCCCTTAGGTGGGGGTGAGTTGTGGGGGGAGACAAAAGTAACAGTCAGTGGTTAGTACTTTTAAGCTTTGTGACGTTTAAAAATCACAGATAGGTGTAACAAAGGGCACTGCTTCAAAGAATGTAGAAATACGCACGTTTTACGCGTCATATAAATACATGATTAAAATATTTTGTTGGGTGACACCTGTCAGGTAAAGAATGTCTTCCACTATTAAGGGATGGAATAACGGTTAATAGAGTTAATTGATATAATCTCTTTAAAGGATAATAATCCTTTTTATTTCTACAGAACCACTGGATGTTGGGTCAGGAGGGGCTGCAAGAAAGTCTTTTTGGGTCAGTTATTCATTTTAGTATAATTCTGCTAAATAAATATAGATTTGAAATTGCAAAGTGGTAGACTTGTAGCTTTTTTTTTACTGGCAGTGTGATTATACAGAAAAGTCACCAACCAATCTCCTGAGCTCAATGGGTTCCATCTGACTTTTCTTTATCAAAACTTTTTGATAAAGAGTTTTCTACTCATTTATGATATATTTCATGATACTTTATCATTTTGCTGTACTTGCAAGAATCAAAACGCCTAGCAAAACCCCCTCTTTCACATATTTAACCCTAATACATAGATATACAGAGGCAGATCTAGAGGGATAGCATGAGGTGACATCTGTTATCCCAGTTTGGTGTCAAAGGCTGTCAAATTGAATGAATTTATTTAGATTCATTTGAAATATAAAAAAAGAGAAAGAAAAACATGTCTGAACATTTGGAAATTAAACAATGTATTGGTTTCTAATGCCACCTTTAGATATTCCTATTCAATGGTTTACTAATGTGCCACAATAATATTTTTGAGTTCAAGCAGCTTCATTTGGGGTATTTTCCAAGCAAATATTGATATGTAATTGTTTGTGATTATATATATAACTAAATATAACTAAAAAATAAATGTGTAAGTATTCCACAACTGTAACTAGGAATTAAATGGAGGATATTCGGTAATACTTCAGAGTAACAACCCATCAGACTAGTGAGAAGGGTAGGAGAAGGAGGAGAGGGAGGAGGAGGGTCCAGATGGGGGTAGGGTTAGGATATGATAGAGGATGGGGGAGTTAGGCGCCTCTTTCCCTGCCTGTTACCATAGGAACTCTTTTTAAAAGTAGTTTCCTAAACAGAGGAATGTCCCATTTTGTTTCTAGTATAATATTTGTATCATAATAACAAATAAGTGAATCGTTGGAAAAATCCGCTTCAGATTTGGTAAAGTGTACAAATATAACAGGCCTGAATCAATTGTGCCATCAAACAGTTCCTCTGTATACTATCAGCCACTAAACCAAAGACTGTGTTCGTTTTGACAACAATAAACACTGTTTATACATTGTAAAATGTTATAAAATCGTATATAATGTTATTATTGAGTCATTTCTTTAAAGTTATGGTTTGTCTCTTGGCCTAATAATGCGGGAGGAAGCCGCAGCCTCCCTGACCTCTTTAAAGGCCTTTGTGGTCATTTCCATAAGCTCGGGCCTGGACCTCGATGGAAACTTTTTGTGTGTTTCCCTACAACAATAAAACGCACATTTCGGACTCGTTTTACTTCGTCCAGAGCTCTTCCAACCGTCCCTTCGATAGATCGCAGAAAATCTTTTCCACCTGCTTGACGGCTGGTTTGTTTTTCACAGCTTTACAGCAGTATTTAAGGCTTTCTAAATCTCCACAAAGGAAAAGTCCAAGTGCACCATGCGCCCACTTGTAAAATAACCCCCTAGCCCGAAGCAAAGCACTCACTTTATTGATAAAAAGTAATAATATGTATTTCAGTGCAATGATGAAGCAACAGAGTTCAGAAGAGAGCGATGCGGCAATAGAAGAAAAAAGCTTTAAGGTAGTCTAGATTACAAAATTCTTCAAATCATTTCATAGCCGAACTGGGAAATGTTGTCAAAATGTACTTTTTTATTTTGCTGGGGGTGAAAAGGATTTGAAGTTGTTTTTTTTTTGTTGTCGTAGAATATCTCGTTTTGGGACACACGGCCCTCACTTTTTATACCCCCCATTGTCAAAAAATATGCTAATGGAATATCAACAAAGAAGATTGAGGAACAATGGCGTTAAACTTGGTTTTACTTCACTTCTGCACATTTTTCACTTCACTTTCGACTCGGGTTTAATTTCAACTTAACATTTTTCGATGACAGCTTGTCCTTTCGTCCACTTTATCTTTATTCGAAAGCCAAAATACAGATCGAAATAGACCCAGAGCAACTTCAGTTAGTTTCTAATTTGGGTTTAAAGTATTTTCTTTTGTGTGAAATATGTTGCTGTCTATTCTAAGAACCGTAGGCCTACAGTTATTTTTTAATAATTGAAAGTCGGACATATTAAATTATAATAAATATCAGTTATAATGATCCAATAATTGGTTTGTCAATTGTTACAAGTGATATGTCTATTAAGTGGGTTGGGGGTCGCGCAGTTTAGAGGATAAAACGTCACTTTTTTTCTAAAGATTAATGCTCCGCAGGTTTAAAATGGTGCAGTCCGAGTTTATTCTGTCTGAAAGTAAAGTAATCGGCTCTTCTTCTTTTTTTAACTGAATGAAGTTTATTTTTTCATACCAGGTGGCCGAGCATTATTTTTCCACCAACCTGATGACGGACGGTCCGAGTAGCGGGTACAATAGACCCAGGCTGGCCACAGCATCGGTTTGGACGCAGGGGCCGGGTTGGCCTGAGGGCTACGGCCCCCGCTGCTCCCCCGGCCCTTCACAGCCTTATCACCGGCTATCAGGACAGGCCTCCTGGCCTCAGTGTCCTGATGCCGGTCGTTGGATGATGCCGTGTCCTCCTCCTCCTCCTCCTCCTCCTCGCCTCCTGCTCCACCCTGCCGCGGGTTGCCAGTTTTGGAGGACTTTCTCTCTCTGATCACTCCCAGACTGTCTCCCTCCCGGACCAAAGTCCCGTCCTTCCTCTTGCGGCCGAAGTCCGGTCTTAAAATGTTATCGATGTAAAAGTTGGTGATCCTGTGGGACTGCTGGTTGCCAGGTGGCTGGAGGAGAGGCAGCACGGCCCGGTTGGACTCGTCGTCGGAGTCGTCTGGGCGCTCTGGGTCTCGTCGTGCATTTTCTTCCATTATGATGATCACCCTCAGCCCCTCTCTCTTTAGTAGTAATTCCAATTTTGTGTTGCGTCCTGTTTACTTTCGTATCAATAATTATTATTTTTGAGTAAAAAAAACAAAAACGGCGATGAGAAAAAACGAATTCCTTTTTGCCAGAATAGTTGATATTGTTTTTGCTGTGGAAACGCGCCTCTTGTGATTTTGACAAAGAAAAATCATGCTTCACTTTGTGGTAAAAGCCTCCTCCTCATGGCTGGACTCTAATGCTCAGTTGTTTTGTATAAAAATAGTAAAAACTGTAGAAAGTCTGTTGAATTTTTACGGCTCCTTGCACACAATTACTGATGCTTCCAGCAGCACTAAACTGCCCTCATAAAGACGCCGCTCAAATACTTTCACTACTGATTTTGACTCTCATTTCTGATTGGCCGTGAGGCTGCTATGACATGTAATATGGGCCTCTCAGACACGTGCCTCGGACCAATAGAGCTGGAGAGCTGGTGTCATGTGAGGTTCCCGGAATTCTCTGGAGGCGCAATCTACTCATGAAGCATTCAAGTTCCAGCGGAAATATCTGATTATTAGAACTTTTAAAGGCACAGGTTGAAGTTTGGATAGTGGGAAATAATTTGTGTTCCATTATGGGCTGGAATCAGTAGTAGACTTAGGGTTTTTGAGGGAAGGGGCAAAAAAGAGGGCATCAGTGTGCAGAAAGTTGAGATGCATTTATGGTGCATAACAGCTAAATTCAATTCAATTTAATTCAGTTTTATCTGTATAGCGCCAATTTATAACAGAAGTTATC